GGTGGGTGGGGGGGGGTCAGGTGATTTGCTTCAAACATCTGTAATATTCAAATCTCTCGTTGCAATTTTATGATAGATATCAATCTATCTGCATTAAGCCTTATCCATGTATAATTACAAGATATGATAAATGTGAGTATGATGGATATGTGGAGGAAAAGCCCCAGGCTTCGGGGGCCAAGGTTGCATTGTACGAAGGAATGGAAGGCTGTTCCATGCAAGGGGGATATCATACGCATTGAGTTTGATGTGATTGTAAGCACATAACATACGGGAAACTTAATCCTTGATTTCTTTTTACTCTTTTAAATTAGTTAAAATTGGTGAACTTAATTTAATTGACTTTTGCCTTTTTTATGATTTTCAGTCAGCGACAATGACATCACAAATTGACGCTTACTTCCAAAAAAAGGTTCAGCACCGCCCCGCCACAGACGACATACGGTGTTGGTGGGACAGGGTTATACAGTGGATTGGACCATTTTTGCTATTAGTGGGCTTCATAGCGATGATACTCCACGTAAATGTAGCAGTCAGGTGCTCAGTGAATGGCGACATCGACTTAAAAGCCCTCGGTACAAACGCTTCATCTTTGCAGTCCACGACACTACCCAATGCTGATTTTGTAAATGCACAATGCAGTTCCCAACTTGGATTTCCCACAAAAAGTTTTTCAGGAATTCTGATTGCTCTGGCGTGTATCCTTACTCTTATCGGTAATCTCTGGTTCCGTTTACCGATCACAAAATCTAAAATGAAAACTTTCAAATCAAGGACAGACGGGTCAATAAAGTCAAGTGGAACTCAAGAAGAAATACAACGTATGATATCAGATCCTGGTTCCACTCCTGTTCCTGATGCCTACGATGACTTAAAGAAACAACATGAAGAACTATGGCAATATAGACAGTGTCTAGAAAAGAAACGTTTTCTTGGCAGGTTTTACCTGGCCAAGAGTGTAGTCCAACTGGTGTTTTCCGTTTTGGCGCTAGTGTTCAGTGTGTTTTTTGCGGGTTGGCCATCAATGCACCAGGGGTTGTTTCACTGCACATTGGCAAATGTAAGAGCTGACTACGTTTGTACACGAACCCTTGGGACATGGTTCATTATTCTGAATGTCATTTACGCCATAGCTGCAGCTCTGTACATAGCTATATTAGTGTTTGGTATTGTGTGGTACCTCAAAGAAGGCAGAAAGCCATACGGTCTGGACGAAAACGCAGACAAAATTACTGGCAGACAGAAGTCGACCAACAAGCCCCAGGAACAGGTAAAAGTGCTTATCTGACTATTCCATTATTTATTTATTTATCACACGACACAGTGTTAGAATATAAAGTCCCTTGTCTAAGGGGTTCACACACAGCAGGTTTCATACAGTAGTATTTCTGTTATTTCAACATTATATAAAATTAATATTGTCCTTTGAGATTGTTGTGCGAGCTCATGTTTGTTTTATGAATTGAAATCTAGGTTCATCAAGTGTGTTTGGTTTCATCCTTGTATAGAGTAAGTTGTTTACATATGCAGAAAGTATAAATAATAATAATAATAATAATAAATGCACGCCTTAAATTACAGGGAATACCGTTAGGGCTAGAGAAGTTGCCGGACCTTTTTAAAACCCGTTTCCTTCCTTCTCTCTGGTCATTTCCGTCGTTATGGACAGAAACAATAGTTGCTATACCATTTCCTTAAACCCATGATAACTACAAATTTTCCATTTTTTTCTTAACTCAAAGCGGTTTTCCATCGTTCATCGACCAAAATTATAATGGTGCCAAAATAAAACAAAACTTTTGGCAAAGAAAATGAAACAAAAATTTAAAAAAAAATACCTTAGTCAGGTTCCCGGGCCAAAAAGTTAATTGCCAACGTTACATGGCCACTTGCGAACATCTTACTCTATCAGGAACAGTGTTACAGCATTCTCATGGAAATCCTAGTCAACTAGGCCAGGAAACTGTCTTATTTATTTATTTATTTATTTATTTATTTATTTATTCGAAACTGGGGTCAGGTTTCTGTTAAATGACTTTGTGGCATACCAAAAACATACATGGGGATACCCCACTATGCAAAAAATTACTCAATTGTTTTTAACTAATATATTCGCGGTTTTTCATTGAATGATTATCATATAACATTTTTAAATTACCTATTTATCATGCTTTTATAGGTTGTTATAGAGATGGAAGGGGGGCATAATGCCGCATATGAGGTAAGAAACATAGTGAATAGCTCAAGCATTATTCAGGCGAATGTGAGTAAGAAGATTATTTCTATCACATATTCCCGAAAAAGCAAATTGGGAAAAAGTCGTTATTCCAAATCATAAAAGGCCTGCACCAGATTTTAGCTGTTTCCAGTATGAATAGAAATAAATAGTATACTGGTGCATATTACTAGTTTGGACCAAATAATCTGTTTCAGGATGTTGTAAGGAAGGGAACTAGGGAATGTACATAACAATGGTCCTTTGGCTGCAATATAATGTCATGTTTGGGACACATATTGCGATTAATATATATTTAATGTTATATGTTTAATGAACAGTGACAGTGTGAACATCTAGTTTATGTAAATACTTTCTATACAATGACAGGGAGGTAATGATGAACCGGTACCACGACGTCCGCCAGACGGTGAAGCAGAGGTGAGTTTGACCTACTTCAATAAAGCCAAAGCCTCCGATAGGATTGGTTCAACCATTTTAGACCACCTCAAAAGCATAACCCATAAGCATTATTACTAAAACCACAGAACGCAAGACTGAAATCTTTTGGCGAAAAATCATTCCAGTACGCGGCACCACATGAGTGGAATAAATTACCTGTAGACTTAAGAAGCATTAGCTCTGTGAAGGATTTTAAAAAAGCTTTAAAATTTTTTTAACAAATTTTATTAAAGAACATTTTATAACTCGGAAATATTAACTGGACATCATTATCTTAACTCAGACTATTAAGTCATAATTTTATTAATTCAATTCATCTTACTGTGTTTTAAGTTTTTAGTTTGTAAGGTCTACAGAACATATTTTATGGATTTTAGACTTTAAATAAATAAATAAATAAATAAATATATTATTATTATTATTATTAACCCGTTGAGATTTGTTGCACAAAGAGTCATATTGGTATTGGCTGTATTGTAAGACTACTAAAATTTGATTACCAGGGACGCAAAGTAATGTTAGTGTTAAATTTGTTTAGAGAGAGTGATTGAAGCACGTACGGTAAAGTGATTGTTACAATTCCATAAAAGTATAAAGGCTATTGATCTGTTTTCGTCTTTTTCTAATATAAATTGTAATACTATTATTATTCAAGACTAGTTCCTCGGGAAGTGAAGGCGATGGCATTGCAGAAGTTCATTCATCCGAACACGAGCTAGAGGTACTAGTAAACAGTGATTTCTCTTATTGATTAAGTCTCATATTTAACTGAGTATTTTTGTGTAGAATTTACACATAATATTTTGATTAATTGATGTTACATAACTGTTAAGGGCCCCAAATAGGCGTTATGACTTTATTACTCGCTTGACATTCTCCCGACATACCTTATTTTAATGCAATAAAAGGCCCAAATATCACATTAAAGTATTTGACGGGACGGTGATGCTTCAACTCAAATATGATATCACAAAACTAATCAATAATCCCCTAAGAAAGGTAATACTATTTAGATAAGGGGTTGGTTTGGAGGGGAATGGCCTTACAAATGTGATGGATTCAGGGGAAGCTGAACAGTGCCCCGCCTAACATTCCTAATACCACTTTATCCCTTAAGCAGGCTAACTACATAGAGGATTAGAGGACATCGTTAACTGTAAAATATGTAACATTTGTTGCTTTATTGCTATTCAATCCAAGATACGGTATGGTCTGAATCAATATCAAAATAAAGTTTTGACTCTGTATCTCCTTGTAGGTTTGTGTAGAAAGCGATTCTCTTCTTGTCAAACAAAGAGATGTACCAAAGGTGAGCACCGATCATTTTTATAAAATTATCCAACGTTTTTTTTTTTTTTTTTTGTTCCTTTTTGCAACGTAAGCGTCAACAAGAATGGTCATTTTATTCAGTCTTTGGTTTTACATGTAAGATAACAAAAATTGTGCGACAAATGTTTTAGCGAAATGAGAAATTTATACTTATACTTTATACTCTTTTTGGTAAAAACGGTAAACAGTAATACTATATTGACAATCCTATTTCTGTCATTGTTCAGGAAGTCGATACATTTCAAGGAGACGCAGCTTTTATGGTGCGCCTTTTGGAGAGAAACAAGTCCGAGGAAGCGGAGCACGTGACGCGGATGATGTCCCGTCCGTTAAAGGAAATGCTGGAAGGTTGGTCAGCATGCTAGACACTTTTCTGAATACTATGTCTCTGGTGGATTCTACTAATAATTTAAAGAAGTAAATACAACAGTCTAGGGAATTATGGAAGATTATAGAATTACGTGCCGCACTGCTGATATCAAACAAAATGATACCACAAACATACATACATACATACAGACAGACAGACAGACGTTTATGTACAGCCTGTACAGCCTATACAAGAAGGGGTTTATTGCTCTTCATTTTCTGTTAACATGAAAAGCATTTTTCGAATTTTAGGTGTGGTGTTTGATCCAGATGAAATACGAATCCATCATGAAACCATTGAGGATGATGATACGGTCACTGTCAACCTGGAGTGGAATGGGCCGCTCAAGGGGGAATACTCGGGGTTTAGAATAACGGTAGAGAAGAGAACCGACGGGAATTTTGTGGCTGATAACACAGTTCACGTTGTGAAAGCAGAAGTCGGTAAAGAAAGAGAGAGAACAGCGTGTTTGCGACATTTAGAGCGCGGTTCTGTATATAAAGTCCGAATATTAACTGTGTTGGAAAAAGAAGAAGGGGTTATCAGAACAAGCCAGCCGTCAAAAATAGTCATAGCTACTAGTAAGTATAAGGCATTCGAGTAATTATATGTATTATAATACATATCAAGAAGTGGTCGCATCATTGCAGAGTTCATTCAAATACATCTCTTTGCAAGGAATATAAATGGTCTTACGTGAATTGCACATTTGAGGTTTGTTTGTTATCCCATACGTACCAAATGCGAATGCATGGACTTTGCAGGGAACGCCCTTTCCTTTGGGGCGCTGATTTTCATCCCGCATTTAACCAGGTTTATAAAAGGATTAGGTGCTTCATTCTTTTTAGGATAAACAATTCTTTCTAGGTATCATTGATTTTTCATATGTCATCTTCAGAGCCACCCGAGCCCCGTTTATTTGTTCTGAAAAAATCATCTGGTAGATTTGCAAGAAATGACAGGAGGCTAACATTAACCGGTATGGTGGACAAGGGAAATGTGACCTCATTCGTTTTGCAATACAGCATTTACTCCACCCACGCTAGCACGAGTGGGACTCATTCGAAAACCACCACGAAATCGCGTGCAATTCCGGATGTCATAACAGGCAAAGAGACAGATATCCAAGTGAGAGACCTTCTACCAGGGACACTCTACAGGTGGGTTAGGTTTTAATGTAGAATCTCCTCCTCCTTAGCATATATGTAATGGAATGCTTCGTGGTATAAAATTTTCACATTTTATACCCGTTGGAACACGTTTCATTATTGATAACGACGGATGTAGGTTAGATCTTCATAAAATGGGTAAACCATTCTTTTCTAGCGCCTCTCCTGTAATCAGATTATATAGTTATATATGTGATTTGCTTTATGTTATATGTGATTTGCGTCATGTTATTTATGCATGAAGAGGCGGTGTGTCGTCCTTCTATGCTAAAACATTGATTAAAACGAAGTGTTTGTATTATTGACCGATATTAGCAGTTGTAGGACGTGGTTACCACTCACCAAATCTCTGGCTTTCAGATTCATGCTGAAGTGCAGATGTGACTATAGTAAAATGGAAACTGAGGAAAGGCCAATAAACATGGATGCTTCTCACACCGAAAGTGATTTCGTTGAAATAACTGTTCTTACAAGTGAGTGGATAAATGCAATTGTGTGTGTTTTTTTTTTTTTTTTTTTTTTTTTTTTTTTTTTTTTTTTTTTTTTTTTTTTTTTTTTTTGGGGGGGGGGGACACAATTTTCAATTGCGATGAATTGGTAAGGTTTGCGATTATAGTTTTAATCAAATGTGTCAGTGCAATACAGTATTTTTAGTCCTTGTATCAGTGCCATGTTTGAGTTATCTTGCATTTAGCTTTTAGCATATGCATTTTTTTTGCTGATGCGTACTAGCACATGTACATGTATCACGCACTGTATCAAAAATATATCTTACATCTATTCTCCAGACCCTGGTGAGGTGAAGAAAGTGGAACTGCAAAAAGAAAGAATGCCCAAATTGGATACTACGACAAGTGTCCCAATACGATGGGTTAAGCCAAAGGGCAGCGTTGACAGATACACTGTGTTCTACAGAGGAAGCCAGGATGAAGTATTCCGACAAGTACTTTCTCACAAAGAAAGCTGTATCTTATACGGGCTCACACCAGGCACCGAGTACACTGTAATTGTTGCAGCGGAGTGTTGTACTGATAACGAGGTAAGAATTAAGCAAAAAATGACAACGATATTACCTAGCAAATAACATGCAAATAATGATAACAATATACTCATCATTATTATTTTTATATTCCGTATTTTATTCAACGGCAAACTATATTTAAAGGACCAGTGGCTTTACTGGTATAATGCTGGTGATTGTGGCTGATAGTCCCAAACGTCATATACGCAGCGTATATATTGCTTCCTTTGTATGCTTTTTATGAAGGATGTTTAAAAACAGTTTGAGAAGAGTCATAAAGACTAATGATACATTGTAAAATTGGCTGATTTACAGTAGTTTATCGATTATACCTAAAGTATAAAATCGAAAATTTCCTTTTTATTAGCTTTGTGAATACCCACCAGCCGAAGGGATACAAGAAAGTGCCGAATCAAATTATATACAGGGGAAGAAGGTCCAGGCAGACATCACACTATACACACGTAAGTCTAGCTTGCAGCAAATTAAGGCTAATGTACTGAAAAAGAACAAACGTACACACATTCTGTCATCCTTTTTTGTTTTCCCTAAATTCCCCAATTACTTTCCCATTGCCTGTGTAGGCAGCGTGTCTCTCATTATTCTCTCTAGACCCCGCAAAACCGACAGAAATGGCGGCTGATTCCACCTGTACCAGTATAGATGTCACTTGGGCGAAACCGTTGGGACAAGTGCAGTTGTACTTGGTCTCTTGGAGTGACGGCAGCGGTGACACCGGTCTTAAAGAGGTTCCATGCGACACGTGCACGTATACCATTAATTACCTACAGCCAGGCACCAAGTACACTATATCAGTGCAAGCAAAAAGTAATGGGATTTTTAGTGAGAAGGAAATCATGTCCAAAGTTACAGGTAAATAATTTCCATTCGTCAGATCAATAAATGTATAATGTTTTATTTTAAGAAATATCTTGTATTTAATACTGTGTGTTTTGAAATATTCATTTATACAAATTACAGGCTAATCCATGTTACAAGCAATGTATATAGGTATTTTTCTCAATTGCTCTAGCTTCAGCTGCGAAATGCGCTTTTGATTTAAACGTTCTCATTCAGTAATAAAAAATTTTATCGAATAGTGCCAGACAGTGCAGTTGACGTGAACATTTCCGAGGTCGGTGACGATACATCCAAAGTGAGAGTGACATGGGGACGATTACAAGGGCGTGTTGATTCATATTCTGTAATTTGTATGGACCGAGCCATACAACGAGAATGCTACCGCCGTGAAATAAGAACTGTCAAATCCCAGGATGACCACTCTGTTGAATTGCAAGGTCTTGTACCAGGGCGCTATTATGAAGTATGCATCACCGCCTTCAGTTGGGATGTTCAAGGTCGTAGGGAGGATTTTCAATTCTCTATCAGTAAGCTTTTGTGAATTCCCAAATGCCGGTTTGTTCTTCTCTGTTTCGGAGATTAGTCTGCATTAACCCAAGGCTTCTATGTCCTACTGTGTGCCTACTACTGTAATTTGATTAATAGTTAAGCACAGATATCGAAAATTCTGTATATACCGGTAGCAATATCAGTATACCAGTAGTAAAGCTTAGTAGCATATCAGAAGTCAGAGGTAAAGTATGGAACCAATATTAGAGCGTTTTAAATACTAAAACACATTTGCTTATTCTCTAATATATTTTCGTGTGATACGTGATGTCTAAATTTAGAATGTTATGATTGTACATTAAATGTTTGTTACCCCTTACCCAAATGAAATGTTTGCGGCAACGATTTTGCAGCAGTTTGCCGGAAATTATTGCTGCTAATTTGCAGAAATATTACAGCAAATTTGCTGCAAATTTCCGAAAAGGAATTGCATTTTGCATCAATATTGCAGCAAATTTGCAGCATTTTTGCAGCATACCTGATATTTTCCTAATGGACTTGATCTCAAAATAAATATCTTTGCCACACTTTCGTATACAGAGCCAAACCCGCCTAAACGTCTCAGGTTAGACGATGAGCCGGGCATGGATCGTTCTGCATTCGAATGGGAACCCCCTGTTGGAGATGTCGAGGAATATGTACTGAGGATCAATCAGAAAGATAGTGACCATTGCCTTGGTGATCACGTCACGACAGCAACTCGCTTTTCAGTAAACGATCTTTCTCCGGGATCAATATATGTGTGTTTTGTGACATCTTACAGTCAAGGAAAAGAAAGTGTCCCGTCATGCATAACGTTCATAACAGGTAAATAAAAGTACCCACATATCTGTAAATATCAGCAGACATATGCTAAAAGACTCACTGAGAAAATAACGTTAAAAGATATAACAATAACTTTGTAAACGTCTGCTTTTACTTAAGCATCATTATGTACTACAGGTATCTTATATATCTGACATAAAAGTTATATGCATTGAATTATCTGCAGCACCTGTTCCCCCAGAAGAAATTCAGTTGGAGTTACGTGATGACACGAGTGTTTTTGTCACTTGGAGATCCCCGTCAGTTGGTCTGTATGATGGGTATACTGCTCGCTGTTACTCCTGTGAAACGGGGGACACAATAATGGAGGTGAAATCGAATCTTGAAAAAGCTGAATTCTGCGAACTCTTTCCTGGAACCAAATACAAGTTTTCAGTAGAATCTTGTTCAAATGGCCGTTTTAGTCAACCTGCAGAAAAACATTACCTAATCAGTAAGTTGGTGAAATTATCTTAATTGTCATTGCTAACATTTTCAATAGAATACACAGTGTGTGGCAGTGTATGTTGATCTTATAAAAGTGGATATTGATAACTTAATAAAATAAAATAGAAACATTCCTGTATGTATTTCTACAGTATGTCACGCTTTACGCGAAAACAACTGTAATTTGCAAACCATCCTCTTTATATCCTAGGACCGGGCAAACCAGTTGTATTAAAACAGGAAAAGTTTGATACGAGAACTATACTCCTCCAATGGTGTCCACCGCATGGCAAAGTTAATCAGTATGTAGTGAAATACACTGGTTTCGGTGAGGACTGCCAAGAGACAATGACGACAGAGGATGCAGGAATAACTCTTTGCAATCTTAACCCTGGAACTCGGTATTCTGGTGATATCATAGCGAGGGTGTTTGATGATGGACGACATTTTGATGGGCTGGTAGAGCACTGGACGGCTGTCACAGGTATCACGACATTTAGCACAGTAACAAATGCTAAACTTATTTAAATGGTTGATATATTGAACATTTGTTTTTGTTGTATGTATCCCAATTCATTAAACTTGTGATGCGCTTTTTATATTCTTTAAGTGTATATAATAATAATAATAATAAGTTTCTCTTATCATACACACGTCTAATAAATTTAATGCATACATATGGAAGAATATATTTCAGCAAAGTAACTTTCTTAAGTTGTAAAAGACCCCCGGGTTTTTTACTACGATTTTTTTAACCGTAAGGCAGACCCCTGGTAGAGAAAACAGCTAGGTTGACATTACACCGGTTCGCTTTTTTTAAAGATCCTGATTGGATAGGAGACTGTGACGTTATGCACCTGACTCTAAAGAGTGTCCAGCTGTCCTGGAGGCGACCAGATGGTCAAGTCAACCATTTCCGAGTATCTTACTGGCCGCGCGGGAAGGCTTACCGCTCGAAATATGTGGAAATACGAGAAACGTGCAAAGTCCTCACAGGTTTGGATCCTGGTACACGTTACGAAGCACAGATCACGTCAGTGTCAAACGGGAGGGAAAGCGATTCTTACCAAATGCAGTTTGACACAGGTATATAATCAAATGTAACACTCTTTGATAGATTTTGCTAGGTAATATTGATCAAAGCTGAAAAATAAACTGTGATTGACTAGTTTCAGTGTAATATACACACTTCATTTGTATGGAATCTGTTGCTTTCTTCCAGGTCCGGATGTGGCATTGGATTTTGCAGAAGCAGGCAAGGGATCGACCCACGTGGATCTAAAATGGAACATACCGCACGGTTCATTTGAATTCTTCATCGTTCGATGGCGGTCACAAGATGAGGCAGGGCTATATGAAAGCACAGAGACAACAAAGACACATCACACCGTTGATGGCTTGTGCCCTGGCGACCGATATGAAGTCAGTGTTGTTACAGTCAGTAACGAGATGGAGAGTGAACCTTGTTTCATTTATGTGCAAACAGGTGGGGTTTTTTTTATTTTTATTTTTTGGGGAGTTTTAGCACACATTGTTTGTTTGTTTTCCATGATGTCTCGTATCATTTCCCTCTCCATCAGGAATATAACCGAGATGTTTGTTGCATAATAGAATTATGTAGTGCAATTTGACACATACATTTATTAATTCTACAAAAAGAAAATATTATATTTTACCAGACCCAGCACCCATTGCAGATATAGATATTGAACCTTGTATTGATGCTATCAAGTGCAAATGGAGTAAACCCAAAGGCAAAGTTGACGGATACCTGTTGCAATTGAAGGGACCCAAAGATTTACAAACAGGCAAAACATTGCCTCCTATAGAAGTAGAAGAGGTGGAAATTCCTGGATTGACTCCGGGAACAACATACCTTGGTTGTCTATTTACCGTGCGAAATAACCAACGAAGCGAGTCTTATTGTTTCAGTTGTTCCACAAGTAGGTGCAACTGTGTCAAATAAGTTGGATATGGTAAATCATCTATTCCATACAAAATCGCAAACAGGCATGACAAAGTCACTGGAAATAGTATGGCGCATATGGAAGCGGTTAGAACATTACGAGAACAATGTAACCCAGATACCATAATTACAAAATACGACTTAGATAACATCAGAGCCTCTTTGGTCCATGATAATATTTGTATTCTTTTTATTTCAGGGCCAGCCAAATGCACTCCAGAGTGCAGTGACAAGGGTACCAGGTCTTTGAAAATAACGTGGGAACCCGCTGAAGGCGAGATTCGGTATTATGAGATCCAATTGATCAGAGATCATGAATCTGTTCGAATTAAGAAAGTACCTCGAGACAACGATACAGAGACAGCGTTTGATGAACTGCTACCAGGGACTAAATATGAAGTGATAATTCGCACCGTTACTGACAATGCAGACACTGCAAGTGACCCACTGAATGTTTACACAGGTATTGTATATTTGGGTACTTGTGTTTCCCTTATCTGTATTTGTATCTTTACTAACTTCAGTCACAATATTGATCCGGTATAAATTTCCTGACGTAATTAAGTTATAAATATACGTTTGCAGACGAATTAAAACCAGTAAAAAAATATTGTATTTTGTGTCCCCTAACAGATCCAGATGAAGTTGGTGATATCGAGGTACAAACACAGGAACGATCGGCAACTCTTTGTTGGGAACCCCCATCTGGAAATTGGGAAAGTTTCAGGGTTTCTCACTGGAAATACAAAAAACAGGATAAAATTGATGAATACACACACGAATGTGTGTTTGCTCTGGTCGACCTTGAACCAGGAGAAAAGAATTATGTAGAAATCACTACTCTTGTAAACAGTATAGAAAGCAAAGAACGAACGACTACTTTTGTTACAGGTAGGTGTATTTCTTTACATAATGTTTAACTGTAAGGGTCATTTAACACTCAAAAACATGAATTTTAGAACTACATGTAACTTCATCCTATTTATAGAGTTATAATGATTATCTCATATACATTTATCATCTAAGTTATTTTAATTGATAAACTTAATTGTTATGTTTATAATTGTGATTTGATTACCATTTATGCATCTCGACGTATTTTTTGTCCAGTCCCTGCCATGGTTAGTAAAGAAAAGATCCATGTGACAGAAGAAATAAAGTCTTTTAAACTCACATGGGATCGGCCTGTTGGTCAAGTTGATGGCTATGACATTTTGGTCAAGCAGGAAGACAACGAATCATACAAACCAAACTTTAAAACACCCAAACCAAATGCCTTGATCAATAAAATCACCCCTGGAGTCAGCTACATAATTGAAATCCGATCTTTTAGTGTTGAAAATCACAGTGAACCATGTTGCATCCATCTACAAAAATGTAAGTATACAAATAGAAATTTGAGTCACCATGAAATAGCCTTAAAGCCTATAAAATAGAATGTGTACATTGAGCGTTTTGTGCGTATATGTGAGTTTTTTAAGCGATAAGAATTTAGCCAAGGAAACATTAAATCCTCATGGATTGGTACATTGTCAAAGGAGCATATATTTTGAATTGCCTGGTATTATAACCTAGCCTCACCTTCTATGTTTTGACACTTAATGATATAGATGCATTAGAACGTTAGAACTGAATATTATTGAAATACTTCTTTAGGCGTGCAGCATATGTGATATCCAAATATATTATGGAAAACGTTACTTAATGTTCTTCTGGCTACCTGTTTATACTTGATGATATAACGTGTTACAAAAATACATTTAAGCACCAGCGCCACCCACGCTGCAGAGGGGTGGAGTTATTGCCACCAAGAACACGATTACATTGTCCTGGGACCTCCCAAAAGGAAAGTTTGAACGATATCAGATCTTTTGCAAAAAGGATGTCACTGACAAGAAGGATGGTATTGACACTGGGACATGTTATGACCTTAGTGCAGGGAAGACATATGTAATAAACGATCTGCAACCAAGCACCCATTACATCGGTTGGATCCGTACCCTGTCCAGAGGGGAACTAGAGAGTGAGCATGTGAACTTCGACTGTTTTACAGGTTTGTACTGTAATTTCTAAGATTTGTATTTTGTTTAAAGCAATGTTTACAACTTAGCAACATGTCTAATTACACCTGTTTTGTTGTATAGAACCAGAACCTCCACAGCATTTCACTTGCCTAAAAGATCTTAGAGAAACGACAACATTGACATTGAAATGGGGGGCAAGTAGAGGTGATATTGAAGGATACACACTGATCGTCAGGGACACAGTTGGCAAAGAGACCTTCCATGAACTAAAGCCGAACATCACCAGATACTTAGTAAAAAATTTGACTCCCGGCATGATGTATCATTGTCTGATCTCCAGTACATCACAGGCAGGCGTGAAGAGCAGCTACGTGGAATGCCAAACAAGCACAGGTTCGTAAACGTTATTATTCTATTACATGTGTGTGTTCTTAACAAGCTTGATAATAAGAGTATGGAATAAATTTGATCTGATAGCGATTGGCTATACAAATATAAATTTCAAAGTTTACTTTTGGATAAACATAAATGCATTTAACGAAATGCTCAAGGAAACATGTATCTTGAATGTGTTTTTTCATAAAGGTAATACGAATACATATGTTAACACTACTTGCCTTCAGTTCCAGAAGTTCCAAAAGCCGAATTCATCACCATAAGCTTTCGCGAAGGTGCATATGTGGTGTGTTGGGAAAGGCCACGTGGGGTATTCAAACACATGTCCTTTGAATATTTCCCAACTGACAGTGAAAAAGATCTGAAAACGCTGACGTCAAAAGAGAGTCCGTCACCGCCACTTTCCGTCACCTCTGGAACTATTTATGTCCTGCACGCTTTCTCCGTAACGGATCATGACAAAAGTGACCAATGTGTACTGAAATTTACAACAGGTATGTTTGTTTGCATTCCCACAATTGAACGTTGCGTATTTTATCACCAATGTTCTACGTCCATATTGATTTATGCGTGATGCTGCATTTAAATGGCATTCACCATTTTTATTTTCATATAATTACATAGGCAGTATTTCTAGTTATTTAACGGTGTCGTCTTTAATATACAATTGACTTTTGTAGCGCCAACCAAACCCGTACTATGTGATCAAATGGACATTGAAACAAGGTCAGTCTCCATTAGTTGGGAGCCGGTTCAAGCATTGTGTAGTTACGAAGTGTCTTGCAGACAAGCTGGCATCAACGCCATGAACCCAGAAAGAACAACGGAATGTAGATATAAACTGATGAACTTATTGCCCGCCACAAAGTATGATGTAAAATTAGCAAGCTGTGTAAAGGACAATAAAGGGGAACTACTAAAGAGTGATACAAGCAACTGCACAATATGGACCAGTAAGTCTGTCTTCGTAATAATTGAGATGCGTACATGTATACTTAAAATGCCACTCTCTATCTGTTTATGTGAAGGATGCATATTCTGTTGCGTTCTTCAGAAAAAACACCATTGCTGTTTTTGTTATATATATTCACTGTGACAGCCTGGCATGTCAGAATGCATCATATCCCATCCTGGTTATTGTTGCACGTTATATCTCTTTAGATCCGTCAGCACCAACCAACTTCAAACAGATATGGTCACAGGTGAACAAGAAAAGGCAACCAACATCGGTTAAGCTGAAATGGGAAATGCCAAGAGAAGACATTGATCACTTTGAAATAGTCTATGACGCCCAGGGGGTTGGGCGTAGTCCAGTGAATGTCGAGTGCAGCCTAGAGACTGCCGAAATAGTTGGGTTAGAGCCTGGAACTGAATACAACTGCAGTATTTCGGCTTTTTTAAGCAGTGGACAAAAGAGTGAATGTGCCACGTGTAAGGCTTTTACAGGTATTTATAATTATTGATTTCTGGTTAATAGTAGGTTATAATACCTCTTGTAGAATTATAGGCCTTTGATTGGTCAGTGGCCACCGGCTATTTCAAAAAATAACACTGGTTTGGACAAGGGGACTTTTGGTTATATGACCATGCACTATTACCGTGGACTATAAGTTGATCTGAAGTGAAGGTTTTATTCAAAACCCTCTGATTAGCCAGATTCCACAGAGTGTCTAGAAAGATTTCCTTGAACGACGGGTTTAGACATTCTGTAACAATGCGGTATGGGTCGTGTATGGCATTCATAACGTTTTGAAGTGAATTAGATATTTATAGACCTACACACACTGGAAAGTAGAAGTGTCACCCCTACTGAACCAATACTTAAGGGAGATGAATGACTGTGGAATGATATGCTCCTGGTGTTATGTTATTAACATCAAATTTCACAAAAAGACCAACAGTACAATTCCATGGTACAGCGGTTTTATACTCATTAGTCACATTATACAGGTAAATAGACCAGGCATTATAAGTTTGATTACTCTGATTCAGGGGGGTGACACTTCTATTGTCCAGTGTGTGTAGATATGTAGGCGCACTTATTAAAAAGTGAAAGTTGCCTTTCTTCATACATTTAAGGACAATTGCTATAGTAAACCAAGTAATGCAAAGTCTCTCTCGGGCTACGATAAAAAGTGACCAGTGAGAAGAAAAAAAGACACCTCGCTTCGTGTGGGGACAGTGCGATTTTTTATTCAGTTCATCTTATTCGTACACTTCGTTCATTGAAATGATATCCTAAAGGTTGTGTTATTAGATAACCTGTACATTTGTGAGGTAAAGGTTAAGTACGGTACACTTTTAAATATAAGTTCAGAATTTAATCCTACTTTACAGCGCCCGCAATGCCCGGTACTATTGTAACAGGTACCCTTGTAGCAAGCAACAAAGGTTTATACTTGCAATGGATGCCAGCTGCAGGAGCTGTCCATAATTATATTATCATGTACAGAAGTGCTCAAGTAACTGTCACTGACAATCAAGACGACGGCAGTGCAGATACTCAGACAAAACTACTTCTACAGGGAAGTAACAATGATGAACCGGCGTCAGAAAAAAATCTAGAAATTCTAGACAACGATGAAGAAAAGGCACGTGATGCAAGCTATGAACAAACCGAAACTGTGCAAAGCAAGTGCAATTTAGAAAGGCTTGTTCCTGGCACAAATTATGAAATCCGAATTTTTGCGATAACTCACGGTTATCCTAGTCTGCCACAACAGCTGACACAGGCAACAAGTGAGCGTTACTATTTTATCTTTACTGTATGTACACAATGACCTATCCATACAGTTTACTTTCAATAAAGGGTTATATTTTGTTTTCATTATGTTGTAGATATTCGAAACACAAGCATGTCTCTTTATTAAACATCTATACTATGCAGGAATTTGATACAGTAATTTGATATATTGAGTTGGAATCAAAGTGATGTTTTATGTATTTATTTTATTCCAGAGCCGGGTAAACCTGGGGAAGTTACAAAAAAAGAACAGACAACTAGTGCAGAATCAATATCTCTGTCTTGGGGTGCTAGTGAAGGCAATGTCAGTGGATATGAAATAGAATACGGAAGAGAAGACCGAACCACAAGACAACCATTGAGCTCAAGTACTCCAAATTGTATCATTGATAACATATCGCCTGGTGTTCCCTATAGCTACAAAGTGTATGCTATAAGTAATGGGATGAGAGGCGATCCTTCTCAGTTTGTAGCAGCCACAGGTAGATTTATCATTTCTTCGCACAAGTTTTCAACACACACCATATGCTGCAATGGTGGTTGGGTTACATCAACAACCCTGATTTATTGCACACATGTGAACTAGATCTACAATAAAGTTTTCGGTATGATATGATATGATATGATGTGTTTTAAATATTTCTCAATTCAAAATATACATAGCAAGAACAGTCAACTATATAGCCTATATTCGTTTGTTAAAGTATATATTCTTTAAATGTGTACTGTTATTAAGCAGAAATACTTTTAGATGTTTGTTTTAATTTCAGATCTTCCGTGTCCTGAAAATTTCCGACAGATCCAAAGCGATTTACCCACACGCTCAGTACATTTGCAGTGGGATGCACCGCCATCTATTGCGGCAGCTTCTTGGTCATACACGGTGAAATATCGACGTTTTAGAACTACCGAAGAATACCACAATGATACGGAGGTTAAAGCTCAAAGTCTGAAAGTTACTGGGTTAGTCCCAGGCAGAAAGTACGAATTCTCTCTTCAAGTTACTGGATGGAAAGACACAATCGGCCACTCTACAAGCAAAGAAGTGTTTTGCATAGGAGCAACAGGTACACAAGCTTTCATGCAATGAACCATTTTCTTTACAATGATATTTTCTGCAGACACATCTTGTTTCATACATGTAGGGGGCAAAACTGTTGGTCTAAAAGTTTTGACCATTTTCTAGTTATTTTATGAAACTGGCCACTGGAGCTATACCACATCTGGTCGTAAAGGTTTGTTAAAACTTAAGTAATATATCAGTCATCCACTCGGTGTCAACCAATGCAACATTATCAGCACCACTTAAGCAATTGCTGACTTAATTGGGTAAATAACTAGACCAGATATGTTGAAAGTATATGTGTTTCGTAATACCAATGGGCAGAAATGTATAAAAGATGGATTTTTTACAACCATAGGCGCTGAACATCCTACGTACGTACTCATACCTGTACCATAATATTTTTTCTTTCTATACAGATCCAGAACCAGTCCATGGTCTTATATGGGATACGTTAACCAACACATTATCTTGGGAAAAGCCTGACGGTGATATTTGTAGATACGATGTCACCGTTGAGGTGGGAGAAAATAAGAATATATCCCGCACAACGACCTGCAGACATAAAGTGGAAACTATTGAAAGGGGGGAAACCTATGTTTTCAGTGTAGCGGCCATCAGCAATGAAATAACAAGCAAGACGATTTTAAAAACGATCACGATAGGTCTGTCTTTCACATCTGTTCTTATTTGACATTATCTCAAAGTCCATGACATACGGGCACACATACCATTAGATGAAATGCACTTCATTAATTCATTGAACAATGTTAGACATCGCATGTAGAAACATAATACTGTATATTCTATATTTATGATATTGTGATAATTTTCTTTAATTTTAGCCCCTGGCAACCCGGAATTCGTACAAGAAAATTTAGTGGTGACAACAACCTCCATCACCCTTAACTGGAATCCTCCTGGCGGAAAAGTAAAACACTACGCTTTATATCATCAACTTGTAGATGAAGAAATGGGTTATTTCACAAAGTGGTGGTCCGGTGGCGAAAAAAAGGATATAGTAGAAGGTCGTTTTAAAATATTGGATAACCTTCAGCCAGGATTGAAGTACCGCATAAGAGTATGCGCTGAGGTAGATGGTGCAAGGGACGAGAAAGGTGACACCATCGAAGTTGCAACAAGTAAGTTATTTTTATTAAGCTAAACAACTCTTCCGATTAAGAAAAGCAGAAACTATTTTATATGTTTATACTGCTCAATAACTTTATAATAAATCGACCATCTCTTTATAGAAGTGTGCACAATGTTTGGACTTAACTATCAAATATCATTATACAAATGACCATATAAAAAAGGAGGTGAAAAATAAAATTGACACCCCCAAGAGTCACTCACTATCATGCTTGTCAGCCTGTCGTAACCAAACATGCTTCACAACGCCTCTCCATTGAGTAATAAATGTCTGGAGCGACTGCCATGAAATGAACATTTCTACTTGAGCGAGGCTTTGAGCGAGCTTATTATAATATCTTAATTCTGATATGATCATGGGGTGATTTCGCTGAAATGATTGAAGTGATCCCATAAGGGTGCATATCTGTAAAAATAGACCAGTTAATAATTCCTTTCTGTGGACGTTTCTCAGCAGCTGAAATTCTTTTAGAAACACTTGCACGATGAGAACTTACATTGTTTAATTGTAGAATAGTTCCATGACTTAGCTTACAGGAGAATGACATAACATGCTTATCAGGTTTTCATTTCTGTAGCAGAATCCGGTGAGATAGCCATTTATAATGTAGGCTAAGGGGGGAGAAAACCCACCGCACCATTACTGGTCGCACTGCCTGGAGTATCAATATCTTAAGAATAATAATGTTTATTCTTGTAATTAAACGTTGCATAGTATATGTAAGTTATGAAAGCAACTAAAATAAGAATTCAGTGATTTAAATGTAAAATCTAAACTGCCTCTTTAAAATAGTTCATTGCCACAAAATCGTTCAATTAATATTAAAATATTAAATCAATCGGTTTCCTTAAAAGAATTTAATAACATAAAATGGTTCAATTTATTAAAGTACATGTATGATATCAGTCATTTTCTTTAAGATAATTTAGAGTTTGTACATTAAAATTTCGAAGGACCAGTGAGATAAAAGTCTTTGGAGATGTAACAGATCTAACATTTGAGATATAGACGTTCCAAAAGTGTCTCAGAGAATGCAAATGTTTTTTTTTTTTTTACTTTTCTTAATTAATGATTCAGTGTATGCTCTTCAGTACACATGCTTCTAACCATTTTAAGGCATAAGTAATTGAACCTGCTTTGCAAGGGGACAGAGTTTGTTTCTTTTATTTGTAATGTTTAGGGGTACTAGATATTCAAATTCAATAGCTTAATGCTAATATCGTTTATTTTCTAAGGGTTCAAAATTTTCAGCTTGGCACTTATGTCTCTATATCTCTCAGTCAACATCCCCTCCCTCTCTGTGGCTTGGTCGCTACTTTTATACTCTATTATAATGTACATTTCAAATGAACTTCCATAACTGACATGTAACATGTCATGCCTATATACATTAACTTAATTGTAGATACATTAAAATTAAATCTTGATTTACATTTTAAATGAACTTCTCTAACTGACATGCAACATGCCATGTCTATATATATTTGAATAATTAAAACTTAAACAAATATGCGTACCTAATGTATGCAAATTTAGAAAACTATCAGTACAATTAATGGCTCACTATTCAGCACAATTAATGGTTCACTACAATATGTTGCTATTGCTTTGGTGGGGTGCACTTGGTTAAGGGGCTGGTACATGGCCCTCTCTGAGTGATGTGTTGAATATTGCAAGGATTGGAGCTGAATACGAAGGAAAGTCATGTACAATCCAGGTTGGGATCTCATCTTGTCCTAATGATTTGTTCAATAAGACCTTCTCCTTATCTCCAGGTAGTGTACCTGCTTCCTCGTAGACATTCGGTCCCATACAAACGAAGTCACGTCACAGATTGAAGAAGCAAATTGATTGTCTCCACAGATCCTTTTTATCCCCATTGCATTCGATCATTATTGGCCAGATTTTGCAGGTTGTTGTTTTAATTGTTTTGTCAGTCAGCGCCTTGATTTAATTTCTCCACTGTCTTCATGTGCTATCGCTTATGTGTTTCATCTTTGCTTCATCGCATTTTCCCTCAATACTTATGAAAGCCTATTGGTTTGGTTTCTGTATTGACGATAGACGGCTTACAACGGTTTCTATCAGTCATTAATGGTAGTGTGAGTGGCCCTTCTGGGGGATATTTGCAGTGCTCTAGTAGTGACTAAAAAGTTTCATATGAGATACAAGTAAAGAAAATAGTCCCGAGTTTGGTTTGTGACACAAGGTGGAACTGGCCTATGTTTGTTGGATTACTCCCTGTTAGCGTTACCCATTAACTCAGTCTGTAAATTACTGAAGGACTTATACATGTATCTAGTCTTCTGACAGTGTCCTACATGTCAAAGCCTGTCTATATGTCTCCCTCTTTCCTCCAGAGACAAACCACGGCGTTGTGGCATGGGTATAGGATGTGTCAGTCAAAGCTCTTGTAATGCTATTCAGTTACTTGATTTTATAATTTTACAACCCCAGGAAGTTAGGAGGCCGAAGAGTCTTGTCCAACTTTTTACGTATTTCACTCCATAAAAAATCATTATTATTATTATTATCATTATTACTTTAAATGTGTACAAAGTTAATTTTATTCCATTATTACAGATTAAATAGAAATTTGTCATCCAATACGGAATGATGGTTTGGTCCTAGAATGGCAAAATTTTATAAACATTACGCATTGTTCAAACTTTTGCATCTTAAATATTTGGTCTTTAAACCTTCTTTGGGTAGTATATTATGAACACGTGAAAATATTTACTGTATACGATTTATTGTTTTAGTAATTAACATGATAAACATTGTTTTAACTATTTATTGCCCTATCTTTTCTAGAGCCTGAAAAGCCGCGCATTGAATGTGATCTATCCAGTAAAATCCTTGTCTTACGATTCACATGTGATGGCAGAAAGGATTGCTATGAAGTACTTTATAAACTCTACGAGACTAAAGTGTACCAATTTCGGTACTTTGTAAGCAACACAAAGATTTCAAACGAGAGGGCAGATTTGTTCGAATGGCAATCTGGGCGTGTTTATAATGTGGAGGTGAGGAGCATAAGTTATTATCAGAAGGACTTGGAGGTCAAGAGTGATCCAGTTACGCTGACAATACATACAGGTAAACCAGTTATTATGAACTTTGTAAATAGACAAACATTATGCAGTTTAAGTTTTGTATACAATTTAAACAGGTATCCTGTACTAATGCCTGTTTAGTTGTTTCCAGAACTTCACAAAGCTGTTAAAACAGACTTGCAACTTATGCCATATGAAAATGAAACTAAATGTTCTTTCTTGTTGTCGCACCAATCATTTAACAAGCCAGTGCTTAAATGTTGTTACAGAGCCTTAGATCACAAGACCTTCTAAGTCATATGGGTATCGTGGAACATCTGGGTTTTATTCTCCGCCAAATACTGCATAATACATATTAAACCTTGATTACAGTACCATCAAAACCAATCGTTAGATACGAAGCATCAGCGACTGACTTGACAGTGAAATGGCTCAAGATAAATGAACCAGGTGTAGACAAAATCACGATTAAGTATTGGCAAAAAGGAGATACAAATCCTTCACAGTTGCCTGATATGACTGACGTATCTGCGACCACCGCCAGCATACATAATCTCCGCCCAGGCACCACGTATATACTAGAAGTCACTTTCCACTGTGGAGACAAATCAAGCACAAGTGGTCCGATTGATATCATGACTGGTAAGTATATTATTAGAAAAACCAATGTATAGGTACTTCTCCATAATACAGGCATAAACGTTTATATATTTTTTTCAATGTACGGGGTTGTTTGCAGGAATGTATGTATTAGACCAGGGTCCCTAACTCGAAAGCATCGCGTATTGCGAATAGCGATATTACATAAGAGGCTACAATGTATTATATGGGGCGAGTATGGGCGAGTTATGGAATCAAGACGCTTGAGCTCGGTCGCAATGTGCGATGCTTTCGAGTTACTGGGCCCAGTTTGGAAATATTTCTATATAATGGTGTCCTCCACTATATGGTTCCTTATAGACGTGAATTATTTAAAAGTCGTAGTATATTTTTTTCAAATAATATCTGAATTGTAAACGTAATTTTGTGGGGTCATGGCATGTTGTGATCAGGATGAACACTATGTCAGTATTTCGAGGTGTTTCTCACGATGAACTCATGATTGCTGAACATGTATGCCGTTTTGGGGTTCACATTAGGAATACAAGTATAGGGAAATGCAGTGTACATCGTAGCAGACACGTTAAACGCTTGCTCAATAACTAGAAATAATAAGTATTAGGAATAGTATTATCGTTTTTATGAGAGTGCAATTTTGTTCAGTTGTAAAACACTGAGATATAGACAAGTGATTCTCACACTGGATCTTACGTTTGAAACGGAGATCACGACCTTTTGACTTCATCAAAAAAATTATTGTCGCCTTCTTCAGGTGAACCAGCGTTGAGCTTGAAATCCAAATTGTAGAAAAGTAGAGGGTATGGTATGATCAATAAGTCACATATAATTTAATATTACGAAAAGTTATATATCATTGTTGATAAAAAGCCTAACCCAACGCCATTGCAGCCAGTTCCTCATATTCAGTTGGAATTCAACTTTTTTGCAGAGCTTGTTCCTCCAGCAACGGTTTACCACACGTTAGTATCTGCTGTGTCGGCCAACATTGAATGGGAGAAGCCGAGAGGCCAGTATGACAACATCGTCGTCACTCTCACAGACTTGGCAACTAAAAAAACAACTGAGAAAAAAACAAAGGAACTCAGCATAAAGTTCCCTGGTCTCCGCCCTGCCACTTCCTACCGTGTAGACGTCTTGACGGTAAAAGGACCAAATGAAAGTGATGTCAGGTCTCACAATTTTCATACAGGTATATGTACTGTGTATACATTTTGAAAACCAAAAAAAATCCCCATTTTAATCAGTTTGTCAAAACTGCTGCATTTAATCCATTTTGAAAAAACACATGAAAATAGACAATGTAATATGCTCTCACCATTAAATTTGATTAAACAAGTAGGGAACCCTACATTTTATAGATACACAGATAGATCATATCCCCATATAAATTGTTGTGTACATTTACAGCTCCTTTGCCCCCCACGGGTATATCTGTCAACCCCGGGGCGAATACAGCAAACATATCGTGGACCTATTCAGATAAACTGGAGGACGGGAGCATCACTTTTGAAATCAGGTATTGGGAAGTGACCTCTCGAGGATCTGAAGACTGCCTGACAGTGTCTTCTAAAACCTTGGAGACAACACTTAAGTCATTAACACCAGGGTCACAGTACATGGTACAAGTGAAGACCGTCTTTCAAGGAACGAGGAGTGACGGTTTCAAGGAGGCATCGTTTAGCACCGGTAAATAACTTATTGTCAAGCATTTTGTAGTGTTTGGTAATGATAGAATAGTAGCAAGAGAAACCCATGGCTTTGTTTAGATTGCACTTGTTTTATTATTGCCATTTATTGGTTCCGGATTGTACATATAGTGTTTATACAAAGAAAAAAATTGACCTTGTGGTAAACATTGTTGCAGGTTGTATATGTGCATATTCCTGGCAATTTTGTTACGATTACGCTAAACAGTCACTCAACATAAAGTTATTATGGCTCAAGTATGCCTGAATCATACTGTTGATTTTAATTCTTAAATGGAATTATAACTATGAATACGCAATTAAATGATACATCCGTTGAATCTTCTCTCTGGTTTCTATAGCCCTGCTTTCCCTTTTTTTATGGGTTAAAGCAAAACATGTGGTTTATTGAGTATTTACACAGGACTTACTGCGAGAAGAATGCACTTGTGATTTTATTTTATTATTTCAGAGCCACCTGCTGTAAGTAATGTACAAGTGCAAGGGTTTTCCACCTATGCCGACGTGTCCTGGAGGCCGCCTAGTCATGGAAAGGTCAAGAGTTATGATATCCTATTTTGGCCTGCTCACAACCCATCAGCAAAGCGCAAGACCACGGTTCAGTATCCTGCAGTCAAGGGATCAATTATTGACCTTAAACAAGGGACCAAGTACATCGTGGAAGTGAAATCCAGTGTTGAAGGGCGCGAAAGCCAAGGTGGCGATAGGAAAACGTTTTATACAGGTAAGGCGTGATGGGGAAATTGGATATATATATATATATATATATATATATATATATATATATATATATATATATATATATACAGGTATATATTCCAATCTCCCACCTCGCGACACTGTGTGTGTGTGTGTGTGTGTGTGTGTGTGTGTGTCGGAATATGTCTGTCTGTATATCGGAACAGGCCCATACCTGCATAATATAAGGTTTAGCCCATATCGGCCCATTCCAATAGCTTGTTTTTTGTAAGTATTCATCGTTATTTGTAATTGCATATATAGGCATATATTTATTTCAATTCTGATTAAATTGTTTAATTTAGGTTTTGTAAAAACAATAGAATATATTTACATCCGTCAGCGATGCAATTTGTGTATAAACCATGAAAATACACACTGTTATAAGACATCTTATTCCGGTTCCCTTTCTCAATTTCCGCTTCTTCCACCTAGTTCCATCACCGCCGTGGATTGGCAATATTGATGCTGCACCAGATTCAATCAAACTCAAATGGAGTAGAAAGGAGGATGAACCAGATGTCACCGATGCAGTAGTCACATATCGTATACCTGGCTTTACTCAGAAAATAACTGAACGTTTATCTACGAGACAACCCCAGCAGCTGTTGATATATTCTCTGATGCCAAACACACGTATTGAAGGCTATGTTGAACTGGTGTGCGGAGATAAAACCAGCGACAAGACAAATTGGTCAGCAGCAACAGGTATGTTACAGCCTCACCTGCAGTAAGGTTCCAGTTGTGTTTTTAAAGCAAAAAAAATCAAGTTAATAATGTCCCGTTATACATTTTTATTTTCCTTTAAACATCCTTTCATCTTCGCGCTTTATTCTTCAGACTAAGACATGCAAGGTTCATCAGCCTTGGCTGTCTGGTTAAAGTTTTAGTAACATGCATTGCTATATAAATTGACTGAAAACTTTTTAAAGTGTCAGATTTGATTTGCTGCTTTTAGATCCCATTAAACCAGGAAGTATACATGTAGGCTGTATATCAGAAACAACAGCTAATTTGTCGTGGGCAGATAACGGTATTGCAGGGACTGTAGAATATCGTGTTGATTATAAAGAGAAATCAGGGGCGAAGCGGTTTACGAAGGGCACATATGTACCCAACCTGAAGCTGACAGATTTGGAACCTGGGACGGAGTACATGGTGGCAGTATCAACTGTGATTGACGGTGCTGACTCTGAAGCCAGAACCACAACAGAATTCACCACACGTAAGTAATCTGGAGTTGATAACACAGCTTCGTTTGTGCTTATGAGCGCCTGAGTTTTGATATTGCTTTGAATCTTTGAAATAAAACGTAGGTATTCAATTATCACATGCTAATGTTCTTCCCCCCTTCCATGAAGGTTTATACAATAATAATAATGATAATAATAAAACCATTCTGGGCATACTTATGTGAGGTGAAATCCCCAACGTTGTTTACCGTATTTAGGAAAAATCATAACTTGAACGTAATACACCCGAAATTTCGTAACCATGCAGACACATTTAAGTATTTGTAACGCCATTGTATACGCTGTTCACTGTTAACATGGAATCAAATGCCCTGTCCGATATTTGTATATAAATTTCAACTCCAATAGGCCCAGGCCAACCAGACGCTGTAAAACTTGTGGGTAGTCCAGCTGCGGAATCGGCCCCCATTAGTTGGAAACCTCCTGCGGGTGTTGTGGATCACTACCGCCTTGAATACAAAACAGACAAAGGTGAACCAGTGACTAAAATGATACGTGGCACTGAATCGAGCTATGAATTGGCTAATCTTATCCCTGGAACTAACTATACCATTGCACTATGCTGCGTACGCCACAAAAAAGAAAGTGAGATATACACGTTCGCATTTACAACAGGTATGGTCCGGTTATGTCGTGTATTACTTATTCCAACATGATTAAGAGAGTACAAGTATACAGCATAAATGTATATATTCCATTTTTATTTTCGCTAATTTATTAATTTATTCTGAAAAAATAGACCTGTCCATATATATATGTATGTTAAGTTGAGGGACGCACCGATGGACTATCGTGTATCTTACGAGTTAGGTTTTAATTACACATCAATTACATCGATTGTTTTTCTTTGCCCAATAACAGCACTTGATGTGCCTATCATCACAGCCCAGCCTGACAGCACCGCCATATTGTTATCTTGGAGCCAGTATAAGGGAAATGCTGAAAGCTTTGAGATCACTTGCCAAAGTCAACATGATGAAGATGAGAGGCTAAGTGTGGTACTCCCTGGCGACACACGCAAGCATACATTTAAAAACCTCTCTGTAAATACCAGGTATTCTGGGAAAATATGGGCAAATCTTGGACCCCAGAAGAGTGAAACTACTGAATGGGAATGTTTGACAACTGCTAAACCGCCAGCAGGTAAACTGAATTATATATTTTTGTCCCTTTACTTCTTCATATCATGTTACTNAAGTGTGGTACTCCCTGGCGACACACGCAAGCATATATTTAAAAACCTCTCTGTAAATACCAGGTATTCTGGGAAAATATGGGCAAATCTTGGACCCCAGAAGAGTGAAACTACTGAATGGGAATGTTTGACAACTGCTAAACCGCCAGCAGGTAAACTGAATTATATATTTTTGTCCCTTTACTTCTTCATATCATGTTACTGTTCTCTGGGTTTAGTATCCAATTGTTTTTTGGTGATAAATTTTCTGGATATCTTATGCACAGTAGTTATGCACCGTGTATGGACTCAGTTGAGATCTTTTGTATTTGTTGTTCAGTTATATTTGTTATTCTGTTGTCTTTTCTACTATAACTACTATTGTTTGGCAGAACATGTTGCATTTACAAAGTGTGCCTTTTGCATGTCATTTTATATGTTAGTTCCCAGTTCCCCTTCAAGGGTATTAGGACTCACATGTGCATACCCATGGAGATAAAAGTGTTGGAAAGAGCTATGGCTGTTGTTGTAACTGTTATTGTAACTGAGTGCATGACACAACTTATGAAATTATGTGCCGAAAGGTGGATTTTTTTATTGTTGTACCAGTAACGTGTACAGAAATACTTTAAATCTATTCGTGTTTAATATATGATTAAAATATTTTCAGATCCGGGACCGACTGGTGCAAGTGCAAAACCAGAAGCGGTATGTGTATTATCTGTCCGTTTGTAAACATTAGTCTGTAATGTTTCTTCTGATCAATAATCAGGGGCGGATCCAGAGATATTTTCTGACTGTCTTCCAAATTATCTTCGTTGATTCATTTCCTGTTGTTGTTCTTGTTATGAAGTTAATTTTTATTGAATAATCAACATTATCGTTGAGGTACAGTTAATCACTTGGACACCAATGCTTACATATGTTAATTATTCTTTTCAAGCGCATATCATTCAGTCTAAAATTGATCAAAAAGGAAGGCAAAGTTTCCGAAGGTGCAGAAGCAGGACATGGCCATCTTAGCCTGGTGGTTGTCGTGAAGGGCGCAAGGGCCCTTCCTAACACTAGACGAACGAGTAAATTTGACACTTATTGCTCTGGGTAAGTAAGGCAGGATAATATTAGTATATATATGTTTCACCCTCAAAAGAGGCCAAACAAGTGTCCTCTACGTGGGGAATGTTTGTCTAACAACATTCTGTATCAAGCAGCACTTACTTCAGTTAATAAATGTATAAGTATGTAGGCCAATGTGATATAGCGCACTTGTATTCAACAATCAATATTATTGTTTCTCCAAATGTGATTGTAACGTCACTACTATGAAGCAACACTTAACAACAATGATATCATAATATACATACCGAAAAAAACTCTGAAGAGGCCCAGAAGGGCTGAAATAATTGGAACATACATATGTATATACATACTGCACAGGAAAGGAATTTAAAAAAATCACTCTCTTTCTCTCTGTGTTCTTACGATGAAGCATGCTTGTAATTTGGTGACATGTGTCGGTGATCTTTTAATTTAATGAACTTATTTACCTCTGAGGAAATCACTTTTGAACATCAGATTTCTGAGGTTTGAGGGGATGCGTGCTGTAAAAATGAAAAACTGGTATAGTTATCTTCACCGGAATTATGTGCATTTTATGTACCATTAGCCAACTTAGCTTTGGTATCTGGAATGAAATATATTTAATAAAGCTGACAGTTGTGAGCTAATCAAACATAGGTTAACAAATGAAAATAATCGTGAAGACACATTTTACAAATACGCCGAATTTTGCAACAAGCTTTAGTCAAGGCAAAGGTTTGGAGAGCTATTAAGATATCTAACTGTATACGCTCAAGTGAGAACTACTTATTTGTCCAGAACTGTAGGTCTGATTGAGATTCCATTTGAATCGTATCAGTTTTTATTATGGCGGTGCTTATTATATGAAACATCTTGTACAACTGAAGTATGAATGGGACATTCATACATAATGGCGATAAGTGAAATTTATTTCAATGGAGTAATTATTAACCAAACAGTTTTGAATTGATTTTATATATGCAAGTACGAACACGTTTTAATATTTGCAGAATTGTCTATCCAAAAGGAAACAGAAAGGCACTTAAAACGAAGGCAATCACGGGACACAATCCTGCTTGGAGAGAGGAATTCGAATTTAGCGTTTCTTCTGTTGATGTTTTAAGAAAAAAATGTTTGCAACTGAACATTAAGGAATATTTTAGAGTTGGACAGGATGCTCCAGTCGGAGGAATCCGGCTTAACAGGGGAACAGGTTTGTATAATACATGTAAATTACCCTTTTTAATCCACATTAAAATATTTTTCTATTTATGGTTTTAATAATTGTCGCCATGCAAAATGTAAAGATTTTTGTACTTAACGAAAATATGCAATTCGTTTATCAAATAATTAGTTCCTATTTCCTTTCTGGGCGTAATAATGTTTTGAATTCTTATACTGTAGGGGAGTACAACGGTTATTCTGTGGACTGGATGGACTCCACGGATCAGGAACAAGAAGTGTGGAAAGCTTTATTAGACTCTACGCTTGGGGAAGAGATCACTGCCGAATTACCACTAAGACTTTTAAAAACACATTAAAACATAGATTAACACATTAGCCTACCCTGAATTAGGTTTACTGTACGTTTGTGTACAACGTGTGTCAGCAGGGGCATATTATTTCTTTAATGAATTACTAAATGCCCCAGCTTTACTAACGTTTCTATTACAAGTGAATGTTTACAATGTTCATGGTCATGTAGCACCCCTCAAAATGGAGGCGACTTTATTAATCACATTGGCTTCATGCTCAATGACGACTTTGCTTGAAATTCACGTAGGATCATTGTTTCTTTCTTCTACAAGCCCCTTACAGGTATATACTTGTAAAGGTTATATTCTTAAAATCTGTTAATCATATGTCTTTATATATTTTAATACAAACAACTGTATCTAAAATCTATTAGTATTTAGGTCTATGCCTCCGGGAACTAATTTTGAAAAAGGGGCAACGGTACTTCAGATTACCGAAATAGCTAATTTTTCCCTTTCAATAATATTTACCCCAGTTCACTATTTTTTTTCCTGGTGTGGTTACCCTGTTGTGCCTAGTGTCGTAGTGAGCTGCATTTTGTATGGTTGTGAATTGTAAGTCATATATTTTCTTTTACTATTTTATCATAGTAGGAATAGAAATTAGAATAAAATCAAAAGTATATTTGTCGATTGTTGTAACTCTATACTTATATTGGAAAGGTATGGACTGTATTTTAATTTTTCATGTGCTTAGACAAGTATACTTATAATTTATTACATGTTTATCATCTGGATACTTCATTATTGGATATATTTTAAAACGATGACAGTAGCGTATGCAGTGTATTATGATTATGTGTATGTCATAATGTAAACTTCATCATATTTTGGTGTTGTTTATAGCAACATTAACTTTGTCATTATGCTAATCATATTTTATGCTTTGCATGTAATAGATTTATATTTTAATGGCTTATAGTATAACTTTAATGGCCCATAGTATACACTATTGGATTAGGTGATAGTTTATTGTCTCTTTTATAACTTACGTTAGCAGGAAAATAAAGACGCGACTAAGACACACTTATATAAGTTGTATTTTGTTCAATTTAAATTTTGGATTTGTGCTTTCTGTTGTAATTCCAGATCATTTTAGAAAATTTCTTGTTACTACAAGCAATCGCTTACAGAGGCATATTATATAATTTGTGCAATTGTAATTTAATTGATGTTACTACATGAGATAATATATACATAAAGCCTACTTGAACTTTACAGTGTGAAACGTGCTGCCATACCTTTTGTCAGTGAAATATTTTACAGCTAACGGCACTTGTTCAGTAAGCTTGTAAGGCACCTTCGATGTCTCGTCGCAACTCTACAATTCAGAAGTCATGTCTTACAGATTCTGATGTTCGCATAAGCTGCGCAAGGCGTACTTTTGTATGTCCTTTTCCTATCGTTATTTCGATACCATTTTGCTAATAAATCTAGGCAATCCATTCTATACTGAACACCAGATAGTATATATATTGATTTTGATAAGGGGATCAGGCTTATTTGAAACACGTACCCAGTACCCCAAATATGTCATTGCTTCCCCTGGAAGGCACTTTTGTCATATTCAAAGGAAATAAACAGTTCAATTATATCAGTGTCTTTGTATCTGTAGAGTCGTGCGGTCACAACCGACCGTACGGGCTCTTACGGGCTGTTTGCGTCCAGATTTTGCGCAAAATCTCACGTCCCACGCAAGTCCTTCTCATATCATGCAATTTCGAGTTCGCAGAGAGCCCGTAAGCACGTATGAAGTATGTTAGACATGTCCAAAAAATTCTACGAATAACCTGCGAACATCGAACCCGCAAGCGTAAGTTGCTCCCCACGCACGCAGTTAACAAGAGAGACGCGCGTTGTGCAAGACGGACTCCACAAGCAACGAAGGAGCAAGTGCCCTTTGCGTGTTAAGTAAGGCGCACGCCCTCACAACTAACGAACAAATTCGAGAGCACACCGGGAATGCGTCGCACGTGCGTCACCCCCACGCCTGGTGTATAAAAGACGTTATCACGACGCAGGCTCGTGTCTTTACAATAAACGTCGACTGTGTAACGTGTACATCAATTTTAAAAAATTTCAAATTGTTGCTCAATTTAGTTTCTAATATGCCTCCAAAAGGCAAGAGAAAGAAGCTTACATAATAGAAAAAAGGGAGGAGGAAGAAGAAAGAAGAGGAGAACAGGAAGCAAAACTGACGTACGCCGTCAGTACGTCACCACAAACGTGAGAGGCAAGTGTGATGCAAAACTGACGCAAAAGGGCACTACTTTCGCCGTGCGTTGCATTCCTTCGTAAGTGGTGAGTGTGTGCCACGTACACAGGCAGCAAGACAAACTCAAGAAATGAGTACAATTTCCACGGCCATCGCTCCTTGCAATTAGCGTCCCTGCTTGAAAGGACATCTCCTGTGGCCCTTGCGACTCGCAAAGCAGACTTTCCTCTACCCCTGCGACTTCCACGGCCTCCGCAACACCCAAAAATCGTAGGGGACTTACGATCCTGAAATTCGTGCGTCCGGTTGTGACCGAGGCTTCATTCGGTCAACAGGGACTTTTTATTCTGGGTGCACTGGATTTCACCCATAATATTTTTTAATGTTTAATCTGGTGTACAAAGATAAACACCCATAGTCAAAGTGTCATTGTATACGGTCAGAAACCAACGTTTTTCTAAAAGATTTTTAAAACAAAATTTTTGTCTATACAGAAATTTTAATATGGCATTTGACTGGACTCTGTTATGTAAACCGTCATGTTCTCACCTATAAGAGACTGATCCAGAGTAACACCACCAATATAAATAAAAGAAAAATAATCAAAATCAAACGATAATTGTAAAAAGTCATATGTATATTTAATTAATCTGTTTGAATGTCAGTCTCATTTTGCTATTAAGACTTTTACAGGTATTGGCCAAAACCACGAAGATGAATTAAAATGTCATAAATTCAAGATGGGCTGCGACTGAAATGGACTTCAATAAATGGGTCTGGGACAAGCATCAAGTATTTCTTGAATACACCATTTTTAAATATCAAGTCCTTACTCAAAGTTCAGTTAGTTTCTTTGATATTTTCAACCGCTTTGATGTCTACAAAATTCAATATGGTCACCATTCACTATGACAGTCTTCAGCAGCAATAAATGTCTCCAATTTGTATCCACAGTCTTCAAACTTCAGCTTCCAACATGGCTCATACTTGACATGTTTGACGAGAGGTCAACAACTCCCCTGTCCTATTGTAGAATCTGCAAACAAGAAAGGTGTTACAATGTCCATGTCAGTTTTTCTTGGGCATTTTGCTCCATAGTCTATTTATTTTGCTTTAGTGAGTTGTTGACCTCTTTTAGCCTTTCTTTGAGAGAGTGAGCTTGATTTATTCTATTTTGCTCTGTTTACCCTTGTGTGTCAGTGTGGAATTAAACAGGCTGCATTTGCAAGTATGTGTCTTTGAATCATACCACCATGTGCGATTCTAAGACAAGCCCCTCCACTCGGACAATCCCTCCACGGACAATCCCCTCCCCTGGACAACTCCCCCCCCCCGGTCGATCCCCCCCTCCCCCAAGGAATATAGATTTAAGACAAATACAAAGTAAAGAGTATAATGTTCAAAACATTTCATCAATTTCATTTATATTTTTAGTGTGATAATATAACTTAATCATTAAAAAAAATTATTATAACAATTTCCTTTTTCACTGAATACAAGTAGAGAAAGTATTATTAAATATCTAATCAAAGTGTAACCACATATTCTCAAGGTAAAGGTGGGGTAAACAGATGAACAGGTTAACAAATTTTATGAATATTTTTAGTGTGGTGGGTAGTGGGTAGATGGATAGTAGTCAGGCAAGTAAAAGTGACAGAAAATCAAAGGGATACCTGTATAAGTGAGAATATCTGTTTACCCCACTTCCCCTATAGATGCACCTTGATTCAAGGCTTACTTAACCAAGGGGGAGTAATGAAGCAATTCAAAGTAACAGTTAATTCAATGAAGGGTTTCCTGGTTGTGTGAGATCATTTGTGTACCCCTCTTTTGTTTACCCGGTCAGTCATGTCCAACGGTGTTTCTTCGTTTTTACTCGTGGTCCGCTACAATATGTTCTTCTGGAGGAGGGGGGCAATCGTCCAGGGGGTGGAGTGTCCTGGATAGAGAATAGTCCGGGGGATTGTTGGGGGGAATTGTCCTGATACCCATGTGCATGTAAAGTGTAGAATCGTTTTGAGTCTTGGCATAATATCTTAAGATGACATGTTTGAATAATGAAAATAAATCAAACTTTATATATTTTCTATAAAACTTACCTGAGTTACGTTGAAGAAAACATCCCCTCGTAAGCTGCAATCCATCACTGAAGTCTGTTTTCCGCCCTGTGCAGTTGTCATCTGCGACAACTCTTTGTTAACCTAGCGGAAAATTTAGCCTTAATCTGCGGTGCCTTCATATTGACTTCGAAAAATAAAACATTGAAGGAGCAATGTTGATGCATTGGTCAAATTCTCTTATAACAAATGCGGATAAAATAGGTGCCAAAAGACACCGTTTCTCTCAACAGTTATCAACTTAGTTTACAGGTATGACAAACGATCATTCAAAATCTGGTATTAGATATTTTCTCATCTCTAGCTGCTGATTCGATTGCTGTGGTGATCCGTGCGGTGCATCCGGTACAACATTCCCAACGTCAGCGGTTTGCGGCACTGGCCCCAGTTGTTGATCTGCTTGTACGTCAGGTAATGCCCCGGAATCCCTGTTGAATCGAATATTTGCGTAAAATTATTTGCGATAAAGCTGTACAGATGTCAGCCATGTCATCAAGTAAAATAGGCCATATTACAGAGCACTTAGCTCCATCATTTTATGCTTTCATTCTACGATATTGAATGGAAAGCACTGACAGGCAAACGTATGCCTTTATAACCCTAAATGTTAAATTTATTTACATATCACACATCTCAATATAACAGAAGATCAATGCTTGTGCATTGTGTTTGAAGCTGCACACATTACTCACTTTCTTGGCATGCCTGAATAAAAATCATTTTCGGTTTTCCCCTCAGGCCTGGACAGTTTTTGTTATTCAAAATGTTTTTTTATCATGTCGTAGGGCAAACGATCACCATCTGTACCATACACAGCACCCCTGGAACCGTGGCTCAGTAGAAATAAGATGAAGGAATCAAATCTGTTGTGATCTTCCCTTTGACTTTCTCGTTCTATCTCCTCTTTTATTTCCTTTAGTAAAACAAAACAAATACAAATAAAACAACCGAGAGCGACAAAAACACCAAGTAATTTGCAAGAGTGAGGACACTTATAAGTTGTCTCATGACTGTTTAGCAAAATCTCGCTTATAGCGTTTTTTATATTATTGGCCGCAGTATTTTAACCCTAGGAACAATAATCAAACTGAAGCTTTATATGCTGAAATGATCACAGGAACATAAAGATATTTAGTGAAATAAATATGTGCATATAGGCCCTATATAATTTCTAAGAACCAGGGGGCATGCACAAAATATTAGCTGTTTTCGGAACATATTATGGTAAAGTTTATAGATTTTTAGCGCAACTACTCTCTGACGAACTTACATTTGTTTCCAGGTTTTTGATAACTTCCACATCATAATGAAGTTTACTAAGAAGTCCCCTTAGGGCATCTACATCAGCTTGGGTCCCATGGCGTCTTGGAAGCCGATCCACAAAAAACCTCTCGTTATTTATAATAATTGCACGGCCTCTTGGTTCGGAGTCGTTCTTGTACTAAATAAAAGGAATACACAAATCAATTCCATAGTGGTGTTAGTTTCTTAATTAATTGTTTGTTTACTTATTTATTTATTGAGGTTAAAAATAAGCTCTATCGAAATTCTATATTCCCAGTGACTATCATGAGGCTAATTAATAAATAACTTTTAGGCCTATGTGCGGTTTGAATATGATCAGTGTAAAGCTTGTGAAGAATTTGTTCTTTGCTGTATATAACACTTTTTTCGGGAAATTAGCATGTTCAAGGTAATTAATGGGGTGTTACATAATAACAGGGTCACTTACCTCATCTCCTTGGCATCTGCCTGTGTAATAAGGTGGATTAATCGGGGCAGCTAAATTGACAAAAAGAGGAAATGTTTGACACATCGATGAAACATATACATGGTTAAAATAAAAAAATTAAAAAAATGAAAGAAAAACCGCTGTTCATTTATTTCACCTAATAAATGTACAGTCAATAAAAGTCAAAGTTATATAAATGAAACATCTTTTCAGGAGTGTCTGGGGGTTTGGATGTAGACAAAATACTGCATACACATGATAAACCAAAACACATTCCTTATATATTCAGTTTAAACAATCTGCAGCACGTTCCTCTTCGTGATGCAACAGGCACATTTAGGGATTACATGCAGGTTTTTTTCATTCTCACCAGAGCAGCAGTAATACTATCTACTATGTAGATATAGATATCGCTCGAAACCGAGATATTTTATTACGTTTTTTTTTTCTTCACATTTCTATTATAAGTCATAATTCCGGCTTAAATCAGATAAAACGGGGGTAAAGGTTTCTGCAATAATTCCTTGTAGTTTTGAACCGTGTCATAAACGTGGGACACAATATCCAAAAACTTAACATACTCCTCTGTACACACACACACACGGCTTTCAACAGCTGTCTTTTTTGTAACTACTAGTAAACTCAATGTGGAAACAAGTTTCAGTAAAACGTGCTGTAATGACTTTTCAATTAAGAAATGAGCTGAAATGAACGAAATATCCTATAGCGTTAAGCAGACAAAATTGATAACGCAAGCTTCCTTGTACCTAATCTCGCCTCTATTCAACTGCTGATTAAATGTTGTTTGTCACTGGCTTATAAAATTAATTTATTACTCACCAGGTTTGGGGCGCGGGATGAGGACGTATTGCTGGGCGATCTCTTTGCCTTCCTTCAAAAGAAACTGGCTGAGTCCAGAGACGAGAGCCGTTTGGGATTTCACAACAGGGCTCTGTCGAGAGTGATAGCCAATCACACCACTCAGGTGGGCGGTCACGGCTGATGTTGTCTCCGCCCACACAATGGAACCGCTGTCGCTTTTCGTAAATCCGGGGCCCTCTGATGGTATCACCTGAAACCAATCGGAGCCGTATGTCTCGCCTGCATTTCCAAAAGAAACTTTATCGGAAGCAGTTCTTATGGCGAGGCGACCTTGTGTTGGCGATTCGTCAGAAAAGGGAACTGTTTGTATGTCATATTGTCCTGTTTTCAAGAACGTTTCTTTAAGCTCGATGAGGATCCAATTGCAAGTGCCATCGTCATGAACGTGAAGGCAACGGCCGACTCTGGCTGGATTGGTCACATTCCCAGTGAGACAGGTACACCCTCTTCCCATGTGCTGTCGCTGTTTGTCCCCGTACACGTCAGTCCTACATGTATACATTTCCCGTCCTTGTCAATAAGAATGAAATAAAGACAAAGTGTCCTGAAGTCCTCCTGTGCAACCTTCTTCCCACTGGCTTTAGGGCCGCTTTGCTCTTTCCACACTTTACAGGCTAAGGCTGTTTCCATAATGGGAAGTCAGCGTCTTCTGAAACAAAATGAACATTCCGACTTTTAGGCGCAGTTTCATCCAACTAATTGAAATGAAAATATTTGACTTGCAAAGTTTACCTCGACAACTTTAAATTTGACTTATAAAATATTATTTTATGTAGTTTTGAACAAAACTGGTGTTGATTATCACACAAAACAATCAGAATAGTCAGTTCTGTCGACCGTTGCTTTTAACTTTTTCACATATATCACAAAAAATAAAACAATATAAAAACGTCATGGGTGGGAAAGAAGTTTTAATGACGACATGTCATTTATTCAGTTGAATTTGCACCGTAAAGTCACAAGGGCGGATGTTTAGGGCCCCCCCCCCCCTTGTCCCATCCCCTCTCCGAAAAGCCGAAAAAGTATAAACGAGACAAAAACATAAAATCATCCCACTTATGTTCATACCCGGCACATTAACATGTTACAATTAATCTCTCCTCATCTATTTGTTTTTCAAACTTCTAGAGCCACCAGTGAAGTGTTAGTCAAACATTTTATAGCAAACTTGATTACACAATGAACATTACACAATTTATTGGCCACGTTTTTACCATGAAAATGATTAAAGCATGTCAGTTTTATATCCAAGATGGGTCTACCCAGTGTACATGTACAGTGTATAAAAACAATAATAACAAAACTTTAGTATAAAAAGAAATTTGCATTAGCAGGGCTGTGGGCTGCAGGGTGGGGGACAAAATAACGCAACAGGCTTAATATGCAACATCTCTGTGCCTATATAGGCCCTACTTCATGTTACTTATTTATGTTGTGTAGCTTTGAATTAATACAAAAAAGGGTGTTGAATAAGTAAATAAAATATCTGACAGTTTCCCGACAATTTGCCCCCTAGCTTTTATATCCACAAAATAATGTAAAACAAGAAAAATAATTCATGGTTATGAAATTAATTTTATGAAGACGTCATTTACTAGTATTCAGCTGGATTGTGTACAGCACAATCATTTGGTTTTGGGAGTCCCCCCTCCCCTCCCCCAAGATTTGGGAGTCCCCCCTCCCTTAAAAATGTATAAAGGGGACAGAACCATACAATAATACCGTAGCTGTACCTACATATAGGCCCTACCCAGTTCATAATATAATTAATCTGACCTCGTCTGTTGATTTTTGAAAAATCATGGAGCCACCAGAGATGTAGGCATACTAATCATTCATCTCGATAGCTTTCTAAATAACTCCCTTCTTTCATTGCATACTAAACCACGCATTTATGGAATGTTTCTTAAAATTAATGTAAATAGGCATGCTGTATTTTAACATCAAAGATAGGTCCCTATTGGTCTACCCAGTAGGATACCAGTAGGCCTATATAGGCCTATCCATAATAAAATAAATAAGCGAAGCAGGGGCGTAGCCTGTGGATGTGGTTGGTGGATAGGCCCTAAACAATGCAATTTAACACTCACAATAGCAGGCATATCGCACGTTATGGTTAATTTGCCCTAGTCTGCTACAGGTAGCTAGGATAAGCCTACCTTATTATGTCTTTTCCCCTATCCCTCAAGCACAAATAGCCTACAACCGCAAGGAAAAATATACGCACGGGTCCAGTAAGCAAGCAAGCAAGCAAGCAAGCAAGCATACACACACATATAATAAATGAAATTGCTTTATCGTTTAAAACATGCACAAGACATGGGTTATTTATGATCCATATACTCTGTATTACGATCGGATAGTCACCTGATCAGTAGGCGCATTCGACCTTCACAGAGCGACTGACCTATTTGTAGGCCCGAGCCACTTTCAAGATCTTTCGAGATAATTTCTAGGATTTAGCCTTGCGTCGATAGTCGATCTACAACACAACAATTCAACGCCTTACACTTGACATGGAATTACCTCTCTTTCTAAGACGAATTCGTCCATATAAGAGACCAATGGCGCTTTTTCTTTCACACTTCCTATTACTCCTTAGCAAAATTTCCAGTGTTGCTATTTTTATACACGCGCATGCGCTTCTGATGTCTTGGGAATCCCCATTTTGCCTACTCTGACGAGGAAAAATTTTATAGGCCTACATCTAGATATCAGAAAAATCCAATTCCACGAAATGTAAAAAGAGGGGAGGGGGCGTCTTAAATACTGACTGTGGGGGTATATGATTTTTATCAATCATATCAATGTCATCAATGCCAAATCCTGATTTACTATTAGGCCCTACTGTTATTATTTGGATTGAATATGCGTCAAACTCATTGTTTAAATTAGAGGCCTGTCCCTATTGATTTATATTTCTAGCAAGATAATAATTTAATTAAGCTCCTAGTCACTGCAATCTATTAACATGAATATTTGATTTTTACCTTTTTTATTAGTAAATCCCAAGTTAAACCTGGCTATACCTTTTTTGTTTACCGGGTAATCTCCAAAGCGCGTTCAGTTAGACCACGGCTGGGTAGATATCGAGAGACGCCATGAAGAGTTGTAGTAGTGGTGATTAAATTTATAAAATTTATATCATTTATTCCGCTCTTTTTTATCATCTACACAATATTTCTCGAAATTAATTGTAACTGCTATTGCAACGTAAGTTGGGCATATAGAATGTGGGCTACTGTTAATGTCTTCCCAACGTAAAAAAATCCCCATTTCAACCAATTATACTGAACAACGCATGCTCAAACTGATTTCAACTGAGTGGGTTGGTTGGAAATACCAGACCCTCGCACCGAACACTTACCCCGCATTAACAGCCAGGATTCCGAGCTTATCGCCATGAAATATTTCAACGCTAGCGTCTGGTCTCCTCTTTTGATGTGGTGATGGTTGCTGTAGAAGTGGGTATACAGAAGACCGGTCTTACACATCTGTAGCCAAGTTTAAGTACACGTACATGTAAGTAAGAATAGGCCTACTGATATAAATATGAGGACATTGTCAAGTGACCGCAGTCGCTTACTCGCAATGTCCTCTTACTGTTATCAGTGTATATAATATGAATGTCATTCGACCCAGTAGTGTGTATACTGGGTATGTACATGTGGTAGGGTTATATTGACTTAATCCAAATACTATACAGAGACTGTATATGTAGGTCGCACGCTTGTCTGGTTAACGTTGGGCCACATCAATATATTTATATAGTAGTGCACATGGGCATGCTTTTTCGTGCATTTGTTTATAAATTATTCCCCCAGTTTAAGCGTTATAGTAGGGTTTAGTTTACATGAGCACATTCCAAACATAAAACTTATAGATACTATATTAGACTAAACAATGTATTGCTTAGTAAGAAAAAGAATTCTTGACGGTGAGAAATACAAGAGTTTAATATATTTAGAAACAATCAGATTGCCCACAAAAATTGTATGTGCTTGTGCGTGCGCGCGCGTGTGTGTAGGCCTACGTGTGTGATACATCCTTAGTTAGAGATTGAAACGGACGCGTATACACTGAAATGCTACTTGATTTTTATTAAAAGTCATCCGGGGCTTTTGTTGCTATCTTTAGCAACAATGGAAAAACCGATCAGATTGTTTTTCCTATTGTCGCTAAAATTATCGCAATGGTGTACTAGTAAGCATAAATTTAATGATTCTGTTCATACTGATACCTCCTATGATTGATGGAATTCTTTCAACAGATTAAAAATGAGAAAACTATTTCACAGATATGCTTTTTATACACACGTACTGAGCGTGGGCTCCATCTTGATTTGATCAGTTTGTGTCCGTGTGTGCGGGGGAGGGGGAGGGGGGAGGCAGGAGCCTCTGACACATGTCGAAACTTGACCAAGTGGAAGCAATGCAGTGATCCCAGTTTGACGGTACTGTGATAGCAAAAAGTGACACGTACGTCGCAGTGCCACCAGATCAATACCCGCCTTCCCTGTAAAAAAGGGTCACCTTCAATCCTATTCAGTCACTTAAATAGCTAACATGCCTGCCCTAGCTGTTATATAACGTTTTAGTTGTCGTATGACAACAATGGCCACTTGTGTGCTTTGTGCAAGGTTAACATTCACTTTATGTATTAATTTGCAAATTACGTGCCCACCAAAAATGAATAAAATTTAATAAGTAAAAATGCGCTGGTCTTAATAACGAGTGCAGTTCGACAGAGGGAAGTCCAATGAAAAAATTCTTCGGGTCTTGATCGAAATAACCTGCGTCTTATTTTTTCCCGGTTGGAGTCAAGGAGTGGGACCGAGGGGTTAAGCGTCCACATTCTGCATGAACAAGCGACACATAAAATATTGCTTGGATCCTCCCCCAGTTTTTACACTCCGCGTTGGTACGCCGCGTGTATCATTTGCGCCTTCCAAGAAAGTTTAAAAATAACTTGCTGTATGGAGTTATACGGATCAAGGACACGTTTGATAGAGAGAAAGCGCAGTTGTTACGTTAATCGATGGCAAACATACCTAGTCCATATCTCGTAAATTATAAAGCGTAACTACTGAGTCATCAGAGAGAGAGAGAGAGAGAGAGAAATAGAGAGGGGGAGAGAGAGACAGAGAGAGAGAGATTTTGAATATTCGCAATTATAACTGGCTGCAAGGTGTTGTTGGCCTACCAAGACCTACAAGACTCGATGTCAGCTATTTTGATAAAATTACTTAAATGTTTTGTAGAGGTACTGTCCATGCACAGCTGATAAATGTGACACCTTCCAAGAACGCAATTTCTTATTAGCTGTTTTGACAGAACTCAAGGCAGGTAAATAGTTTAGGACACGTTCGATAAGCTCAACACAAGCGTCTATCAAGTGCGTGTGTGAGTGCGAAATATATGTTGATATAACTTTGCCATCCCTCTTTTCTGTTGGTTGCACCGTTCGCTAGTTATATAGCAAAAATGCGCATATGTTAGAATTTAGACCACAAGACAAGTGACTTTTTTATGTCTCAGTGGTGTCACATTTCGTTAATTGTAGGGCAGTCAAATAATGAACACTGAGTCATTACAACATTTACTAGGGGGTTCTATTTAACGAAACCAAGTAAGTATAAACGTCTCGATGGCAGCTATTTTAATAAGATTACTGAAATGCTTTGTAGGGACGCTATCCGTGCACAGCTGATAAATGTGTCACCTTCCAATAACACAATTTTTATCAGCTGTTTTGACAGATATCAAGGTAGGTAAACAGTCTTGGACTCGATTGTGTGAGGACAGCTGTTTTTTTTTTTTAGTTTAGTTTAGATTTGCCAGTATGTTTGGTGAAAAGGAAGGTTGAAATCGAAAATCAGCGTGGCTTGTTAATTTTCACAAATGTAGCATGTGCGGTTTTAGGAACCCTGCTGCCCAGTGTTTTAACTCACGCGGCACATTGTGCAAAGAAAGGGTCGTTACATGTTTCAATATTATTTTGAGATTTATTTGAATATTCACGTCGCTAATTAGCAAGGTGTGTTCCTTCTTAGACCATATTTTGTTCAATGATATTGTTATCATGTTCGTTATGTTTATGCCGCCCCCCCCTACAAAACCTACAACACCTACAACACCTACAACACATGCAACCGTGCTATAGATAATGTGGAGGTTTTAAAGAAAGACTTGAAACATTCTTAATTGAAATTTTATATTTTGTCATTTTATCTTAAAAAGACTTACTGTCATAACCAGAATTAATTATTAGAATTTTTCATTCACCTCAGCTTCAAGTATTTATATAATAACAAGCAATTCTGATAATTTTATTTGTAAACAGAAATAAATATAATTATTATTATGCACAAAAACAAATCCCAGTTAATCAATGATGGCGGTTATATTTCTGACGGGTAGCCTCTGATCCAATCATAATTGCCAAATGCATGTACGTGAAGCCACGCACCAAAATTACAAAATACACGTACGTGTAGCCATTTTCACTTTTAACTTAATGTTTTCATCTTCTGAGAAAACCTGCTTTTAGTCAGTTTATCTGAGCCTGACCTGAAGTACGCTGCGTAGAGACACTGAAGTGTGTATAGATATTGCGCCGTGCAAATAGTGTAATGTGCGGTATCAGATTACAAGCGCATTATTAAGGGGGGAGCTCAGGTGATTTGCTTTAAACGTATGTAACATTTAAATCTCTCGTTGCAATTTTATGATATATACCAATCTGCGTTAAGCGTTATCCATGTAAAATAACAAGATATGATAAATGTGAGTATGATGGATATGTGGAGGAAAGCCCCAAGCCTGGGGGCCAAGGTTGCAGTGTACGAAGGAATGGAAGGCTGTTTCATGCAAGGGGGTATCAGACGCATTGCGTTTGATGTGATTGTAAGCAGGTTTCATACGGGAAACTTAACCCCATAGCGCCTGACAGCATCTGACCTAGAAAGTGCCCTTGGTCCTGAGCCCTCTACACGGACGCACTCAATTTTACAGGCGGCCTCATTTAATCAATGATAATGTATTCACTTGTCTAGAAAACACCTAAGAACTGTACATTTTTAGAAAGCCAACAATGTAAGCTTTAAGGTCATATCAGATTTATTCATATTTGTTAACTTAGGTAGAAAAAGCAGGAGTTTAAATATGAGACTTGCTTTTCTCGAAGAGAAGTAAAAAACAAAACTTTAATTTCAGCATGCACATTCTTTTTCACTTTACCAAATAATTTGTTCAAATTTTCTCATACACATTCGAAACATGTTTCAAACAATGTCAGAAAATTTCAGAAAGATATCTTATTTAGTTTTTGAGTTATAATACATTTCCTGGGATGCGTGCTGTACCTAAAAACCTTCATCACGTCAGCTAGCTGCACAATATACTGGCAGGCTAGCAGACTGGAAGACTTCCACCTAATTACGTTTATAATTACAAATAGATTGTAAATTAAGTGCCTTTTTCAATAGTTTTTCTATAGTTTTTTTTTTATCAACTGAACCAGGATACTCATAAAATTTTGTTTTGCACTCAAATCATATACAAGAATACAAACATCGTCATGAGCAAATATTACACTTTCGTGAATAAAAATTGCATCATAAAAATACAAGCAAACGTGGCAATTGTAGTAATACACAAGCAGGAAAGACATGTTGATACAGCGCACTAATAAACATATTACATCTGTATTTATACACAAGCAGGAAAAGACATCTGTAGATGCAGCACACAAGTAAACATATGTCATTTGTACTTATACATAAGCAGGAAAAGACATGTTGATGCAGTACAACGTAACATATGACATTTGTATTTATGCACAAGCAGGAAAAGACATGTTGATACAGCACACAAGGCAACATTTAGCCTGACTTGCCACGGAACGTTTACAGTCATTTTATCAGCAATATAGCAATATATAGCCTTCCAATTACTATTGTCGTCTGCTTGGTTACTGCCGTTAGCGTTTTTCATAAATCAAGCCCCACGTCCGAATCTGCTCTCTGACAACTCATACTAGCCAAAGGTACATAATCTTTGAAGTTGTCGGAGTATCAAAATCTATCAAGGACGCTTCCCCGAAGTCTGAATTTTCTAACAAATCTAGAACATTTCTCAACCCATAATTTCTGCTGACTTCTCGTCGCCATTTTGACTTCATAGCACCTCGACAATGGTTGAAATAAATCGCTTTTTCATTATCTAATTCTCGCTACACATCATTCAAAAGCCGATAGTAAACAAAAAACTAACATTAAGTTATTCTTGTGATAGAAGCATGAATTGTCACAAACAACAGAGGACAGTGCAAGCATGTAAACACAGAGACCGCGTATATGCGGTTCCCGGCACTGAGGACTTTTTAAAATGAACCGCATATGTGCGGTTCCCGGCGCTATGGGGTTAACCCTAGATTTCTTTTCTACTCTTTTAAAT